GCGGCGCGCGATCGTTCTCACAAATTGCAGGAGTTACACAGATTGAGGGCGGGTCGTTTTCAAAATGTGGTTCTCGCCTTAGCGCGGCGCACATTCGTTTCAAACATTTGCAAGAATTTCACGGATTGACGGCGGTTCCTTTTCAACATGTGGCTCTCGCCCCAGCGCTGCACACATTCTTCTACGAAATTCTCAGGAGTTTCACGGATTCCCAACATCAACGTACCAGAAATTGTGTTTCAAATCAGGATTATGCGAGCGCAACAGTTACGTTGATTCTCTGTGTTGCAGTCCTAGGAATGGCCTCCTCCTCCTCATCATCATCATCATCATCATCAGCATCATCATCATCATCATCATCATCATCATCATCATCATCATCATCATCATCATCATCATCATCATCATCATCATCATCATCATCATCATCATCATCATCATCATCATCACCACCACCACCACCATCATCATCATCACAGCAGCAGCAGCAGCAGCAGCAGCAGCAGCATCATCATCATCATCATCATCATCATCATCATCATCATCATCATCATCATCATCATCATCATCATCATCATCATCATCATCATCATCATCATCATCATCATCATCATCATCATCATCATCATCATCATCATCATCATCATCATCATCATCATCATCATCATGCTCCTCCCCCTCCCTCCCTCCCTCCCTCCCTCCCTCCTGCATCCTCCCTCCTCCTCCAACATTACCGATACCTTCTGGTGTGGCGATGGGCCGTGCCAAAGGCGAAAGACGCTTGCACGATTTGGCAGTTGGGGCTGGCATGGGAGGGAGGGGGGGGGCATACGGTCTCGAAACGCTGCCCCACGGAGCCCGACATAGTAGGGACGAGGCCCCTGCTTCCCATGAGTAAAGCTTCGCTCTCCCGTCGAGAACCTGGGGAGAACCTAAGAGAAGCTGCAAAAACCATTGGGCAACACTGAGCCCCTCCCCTACGAAAAGAGTTCCTTCTTCAGCGGCCCGACTTTAGGGGGGCACATCGACTTGGAATCGGCGATGCATCGCTCGGCGGCGAGCGAGGAGGGGAAGTGAGGAGGAGAAGGCCTTCTCAGAGGGGCTTCTCAGAGGCCCTCGCGCCTTCTGAGAGGCTGTCTGCGTCTTCAGGGAAGGCTTAGAAAACTTCTCAGAAGGCCGGGGCACTTCCGATCCCCCCCGGGGCTCGTTGCCGAGTCGCCGATAGATCGGCGGCAGGGGGCCCCGACAGCGAAGCCGCGCGCTCCTGGGCAGGCTGGGGCTGTCAGGCCCCCCGCAGCGACCAGTGGGCGACTGGGGATCGATGCATCCCCCCCTGCTGCGGGCAATACTTACATCCATATCCAGGGCGTCTTGGACGTTCGTGAAGGGGCGCCGCAAGGCCGAGGCGCACTTGATATGGATAACATTATAGCCTCTAGTAGGGGCCAGACGTTTACTCATATCCAGTGCGCCTCGGCTTTTCTACGGACGGGAGCCCGAAACTCCAAGCTGCAGTGGATATGGACACAAGTTTTGCCCGCACCTGTGCCTCGTTATGCCCCCCGATCGTTGCCCCTGAGGAGCTGGGGCTGTGGCACGAGGGCAGCTCCGGGGGGCCCTCGGCCGCGCGTGCCGCGGCGCCATCGCCGCAGCCCGGCCGCAGCTCGGCCTCGGGCCGCAGCCCGGGCGCCCCCGGCGGGGCAGAGCACGCGCTCCCGCGGGCAGCGCCGTGCTCCTCTCCGCCGCGGCGGGGCCGCAGGCAGCTCTGCCACTCCGACCACGCCGCCGCCGCGAGTCTGCCCCACCAGGGCGGAGCGGCTGGGGCCTGCACCACCACGACGACACGACGACGACGACGACGACGACGACGACGACGACGACGCCGGTCGTCGCATCGGCGCCCCGCCTCCGAGGCGGCGCCCGCGTCCGCGGGCCCGGTGGCCATGGGGGCCCGCGGCGCCGCCTCGGCGCCTCGCTGCGAGCACACGCGCCGCCGCCCGAGGCGCCCCAAATAGGGTGGCGCGCGGCCGCCCGCGTGCCGTGCTCGGGCCCGAGGGGCAGTTGTTCCCAGGGCTCGGCGCGGCGCTGGCCTCCTCCTCCTCCTCCTCCTCCTCCTCCTCCTCCTCCTCCTCCGCCTCCTCCGCCTCCTCCTCCTCCTGCTCCGCCTCCTCCTCCGCCACCTCCTCCTCATCCTCTCCTCCTCCTCCTCCTCCTCCTCCTCCTCCTCCTCCTCCCTCCTCCTCCGCTCCTCCTCCTCCTCCTCCCGCCTCCTCCTCCTCCTCCCTCCTCCTCCTCCTCCTCCGCCTCCTCCTCCTCCTCCTCCTCCTCCTCCTCCTCCTCCTCCTCCTCCTCCTCCTCCTCCTCCTCCTCCTCCTCCTCCCCCTCCTCGGCCGAAAGCCGCGTTCCCACCTCGGCGCGGCGCACCGCTCCCACTCGCCCAGTGGTTCGGGGGCGGGGCCGCGCGCGAGCGGGCGACGCGTCGCCCACGCGTTCGCTCCGCGGAGACCTCTCGTCTGGACGTGGCGCTCCGCCGCGTGGGAGCGAGGGGTGTTTCTCTCTCTCTATCTCTCTGTCTCTGTCTCGCTCTCGCTCTCGCTCTCGCTCTTTCTCTCTCTCTCTCTCTCTCTCTCCCTTTCTCTCCGAAGCCCAGCGGGTCCGGGCGAGGGCGGGCGAAGAGGCGTCCTCGCCCAGAGCGCTGCACGGATTGCGCGCGAGTGCGCTTGAGAGTGGCAGTGCTGCTTCGCCGCGGCGCCGCGCCAGAATCTCCTGAAGCGCCGCCCCCGCCCGTGTATGGCCAGCGTTTTCTGTCCCCTCGCCAAGTCGCCAGAAGTGGGACCGCGCGCGAGCGGCGTCCGCTCGCTGAAGCACGGCGGACGGGCAGCGGGCTACAGGCGCTGGTTGCGGACTGCCAGAATCCAGATTCGCCCCCCCGCCGCCAGCCCGCCCCCCAGCAGCCCGCCGCCCGTCCGCCGTGCTTCCGTGTCCAGCACAACTGTACTACTCAACAGCATCCGTCTGCAACACACCACCATCCAGTCGCGGGCCCCACTGACTCGTTCGACCTGGCTAACTCCACTCCCGAGTATCCTTATTCCCCCACTCTCCCTTATCCCTCCTCCCCCATCCCCCCTCTCCATCTTCTCTTCCCGTCCTCCCTGCCTCAGCCCCGCACAGCCCGCTGGCGGACCGACTGGGGAGTCTGGGCTCGGTGCCCGTGAGGGTCCCGTCAGCTTTTGGCAGTACGGGGTGGAAGTCCATGTGCTGGACCTGCTTAAGATCGCCCGGCTGCACGGTCTTTGACTCGCCCGATTCGGCGGTCGAACGGCCTAGGGAGGTGAGGCGGGCGAAGTTGCTGGCCAAAGCCGACGACTCTGAGCTTTGGCCATCCGCTAACGAGGGAGGAGCCTAATTTGGGCCCGCCACGTAGCGGCGCGGCGAACTCGCCGATGCACCCTTACCATTATAATTACCATTACTGACTCAATTACTATTACCATTACCAGTGTCAAATACCATAACCATAACCATTGCCATTGCCATTGCCATTGCCATTACCATTACCATTACCATTGCCATTGCCATTGCCATTGCCATTACCATTCCCATTACCATTACCATTACCATTACCATTACCATTACCATTACCATTACCATTACCATTACCATTACCATTACCATTACCATTACCATTACCATTACCATTACCATTACCATTACCATTACCATTACCATTACCATTACCATTACCATTACCATTACCATTACCATTACCATTACCATTACCATTACCATTACCATTACCATTACCATTACCATTACCATTACCATTACCATTACCATTACCATTACCATTACCATTACCATTACCATTACCATCACCCGCAAGTCGGAAGAAGTAGGTCGTAGCATGAGATAGCGAGCGAGCGAGCGAGCGTCCATCCGGCCCCACTGGTCACTGGTCTTAAGGCCGCACCCACTTGGGCGGGACGAGTCGGGCCGTAGCCCCTGTGAACAAAATGTGAAACCATGCGCACGTACTCTTGCTTCGCATTCACGCACTGGATCTCCATACTCTGCCATGTCGCGCTTTGCTTCGCACTGTTGAGCCAAATGGTATCGTTAATATCGTCATGTCCTCTCTGTTGATGACCTGGCATGGTGTCGTCAAACACATACTTGCCCAAAAACATCGGGATCTCGTCGTTCCACCGTTCATGTTCACCACCATGGTTGCGATAAACTGCTTTGTTTGCCGTGTGGCCGGGGTGCCACTGCACCGCTCTTTGTGTCCATCTTGTCACGGGGTGGGCTGCCACCTTCGCCGCGAGCCTCCAGTTTAACCAGCGCTGCTCTGTCACCCAATCCTTGACGTTGTGCAGCCGCATGAGATGTTCTGCACGATGTGTCGCCCGTCGAATGAAATCGACCCAAGTCTCCTCACTGTCCGCGTCGCTGTCGGTATCGGCGTCGCCGGTGGATTGCTGTCGATGTCAGAATCGTCGGTTGTGCTCGATTGATCCGCAGCGGCCGTGCTTGGATTCGATTGCCAATGAATCGCCGTTGAAGTTTCAAAAGAAGAGTCGCCAGCGCCAGAAATACGACGAGCTCGTCGCACACGCCCCCGTTGTGTATTCACAATCATGCGAAGTATTCTCTTCTCAATCCTGCGGAGCTGTTGCTGAAGAGGCTCTGCCAACGTCCACGTCCACGTAGCATGACGTAGGAATGCGGCTGAAATAGACCGGGTTCGGGCCTGCCCACAGGAATGACCAAACACGGCAAAAACAAACAAAACAAACACCAGAAAAACAAAAAACACAAAAAATGCAGAGGCTTGACGTAGGAAGGCGCTTGGGGTAGATTGGGATCTGGATATCCAAACATGCCCACTCGAAACGACTGGCGTGCACCATCACCTCAGCCCCCCACCCCTCCCTCTCCTCAGCCCCGCGTTCCTGCTCCCGGCCTGGCCCCCCTCCCATGCACGGCCGAGCAGGCGCGGGTCGTCGGCGCGGAAGCCAAGCGAGGCCAGAGGTACACTCCCGTTCCTGGCGGGGCGGGGGTGGGGTCAGGGTCGGAGGAGCGGGGCGGGCTGGAGGCGGGCAGGGCGGGGACTGGGAGCGAAGAAGCACGGCGAGGGGCGGGAAGCCGACGAGGGGGGCGGGGAGGGAGAGAACTAAGGGGAGGGGGAAGATGGGGAAGATCAAGCTAGGCGCGCTCGCGCCATACATTACATCCTGTCCCTCCCACCAATCGTTTCCCACTGTGCTGTTTTGTTATATCCACCGACGGTTGTTTTGCTTGTTTTCTCCATGATTGGGAACTCAGATAACTTCTTGGCACAATAACTGTGCAACGACACGATAAACATGTCACGGAATACCTCTCGGAAGTTGTGAACATGTCAAGCGGTCAAAAGGAAAAGTTGTATGCCTGAAGTGATCCAGAGAGTGCTCGTGTCTACAGAGCAGAAAGGGGACGGAGGGAATACTAGAATGATAACGTGGATGAGAAGATGGTAGAAGACGGCGAATACTGGTATGTGCACACGGATGTTCAATTAGAGCAGTAAGCCGCTGCGCTTGCAACATGAGGAATCAGAATAATAAGAAGTTGTGCGAGAGCGTTCGCGGGGCTCGCAACCTATCGCCTTGCGTGACGTAAAGCGGGCCCGCGGCCTATCATATCATGTTTCGTCCGTCGATGGGTGCTGGCAGGGAGCACGAATGGGCAGTCAGCCTGGGGGCGGGGAGAAGCAAGGCGGTTCGGCAGAACATAGGACGAATCGCTGCGGCGCCGGTCCGGTGTTGGCACCGACTTTCATCTAGATCCAGCGCCGGAACAAAGGGTTCCAAAACAGTGTTGCACACGGCGTCGGCATCAACGTTAAATTCTCGGTACACGTGAATGACCTCACACGCGCGCACAGCAGGGAAGCGGCGCAGCTCTCCCAACCTCCGAAGGGCTGTCTCAAGGAGCGGCCGCAGCGATGGCGCTCGACACCGCCACTGGCAGTTGGCCTGACGAGGGTACAGAAGCGCATGCTGAGGATGTTCCAACAACCCCGTGTATTCCGCAACATTTTTTGTGACGTGGCCAAGTTGCGCACCGCGGGAAGTCACGACCCGCCGGCAGCCTTCGGCATAACGAACACAACCAAATGAAGATGAACTCGCCTCCGCCGTGCCCTGGCGCTGGCTCGCTCCGTCCGACGCGTAGACGACCCACCCTTCAGCGTAAGTGGGAGGTTTCGCGCGCAGGGCACGCCGCTCGGCACGCGAGCTCTCAGCCGGGGACCCAGTAATCCACGGGTCCTCGTTCAGGCGTCGGGCGTGGCGTATCATATCTTCGAGACTGTAGAAAGCCACCGACGGGTGTCGCACCGGACATGGAAAATTCGAACTCGGCACACAGCTTTGCGAGCACAGGAACTGCCTTTACGTAATCGTTCACTACCGCCGCTGTGTCCTCGGCGAAAGCGCGAGCAACTTAGTGGCCGCGTGACATATCTGCGACGTGTCGAAGCAGAGTGTCTACGCATATGGTTTGACTGTGATGCTATCAAAACATTCGTTCCGAATTTTGATATTGCGCGCAATCCAGGTGCAGAACATTTGCAACATGCGGACGTACTGAGACGGAAAGACATACCCCAGAGGACATCCCACATGAAAGAGCGACCCTCGCCGAGAATAGCAGCACGAGGGATGCAGCGCAAGGACACCAGACCAGGCAACTCGAGGAACGCAGCAAGGAAACTGCAACGCCACAGCATTGAAACTGGACCAACCATCCCCAGGGAAGGCCGCACGAGGAGGAGAGAAGACCACGCAGCCCCGGAGAGCGCCACCGCCTATGAGCAGGACCAAACGCAACCCCGCGGAACGCCAGCCGGCGTAAGCCTCGCACCCACCGATTCCTCAGGAACAAGCAAGAGCCCCATGGAGCCTGATTTCCGATGAGAAACAATGGTTTACACAACATCCTAAACTTGGAACCCATGCGCTACAAGACAAAATGTGGGAAAAGAGGGGAGAGAGGAGAGAGTAGTGCTCAGATTGAGCAGAACTGTGATACAAGAGGGTGAGGGGGCAGGAGTGGGAGGAGAAAGAGGAGAAGAGACGGAGATCGCGCCCTGTGGCACGGGACAGGACGGCGAGGAAGGGGAAAGGGTGCAGGGGGGTGAGCAGATGCGGGCGGGGGCAGAGGGGAGTGGGGGAAATGGAAGAGCACGGGAAGGTGGAAGGGAATCAGGAGCAGCAGGAGCATGACGAGCACGACGCGGACGGGAAGGTTGATGAGGAGAAGAATGCGGAAGGAGCCCAGAGACAGACAAATAAATACACACAAATTCCAGGATTCCCCATATTTTCCGTATGTCCTGGACGTTCGTCTTCCCCATCCACGTCCCGTACAGTGGTGGCCCGACCACAAAAAACCTTCCACAAGAAACCAAACCCTGAGACCCCAGGACGTCCCCTGATGTCTGGCGTGGGGACGTCACCGTTTCCACAGAACCGAAAAAACACACATCGAAACCCAAGAAACCCACGGCACACTGGAGGCAAGCAGGGTGCTTCTTGGTATGGGTCCCCACTGCATGGCCCAGAATCCCCAGGGAGAATGGACGACTCTCTGTGTGTCCGTGTGTGGCTCCTCCCGAGAGGTTCACGCCGCAGGGCGTACACAGAATTTTCTGGCATTTTGTCAGACTGCACGTTGCCCGAGCTTCCCTGGGTGCCCTCAGCCTGTCAGCCTCACCGCGCGGCACAGCAGCGGCTTTGTGAGCTGGCCCGGCCGGCCTGCTGCGCGCCCAGTAGCTAATTAGGCCTGTTTCCGCGCCCCGGACAGCTTCTGACTCCGCCTGCGCCTTCGCTCGCGGACGCGACCGAAAAAGTGTGGCTCCTGAGGAGGAGGAGAAGGAGGAGGAGGAGGAGGAAGAGGGGGAGGAGGAGGAGGAGGAGGAGGAGGAGGAGGAGGAGGAGGAGGGAGGAGGAGGAGGGGCAAGAGGAGGGGCAGGAGGAGCAGGAGGGGGAGGAGGAGGAGGTCGAGGACGGAGGAGGAGGAGCAGGAGGAGCAGGAGCGGGACGGGGAAGCAGGAGAGCGCGCCCGCCTCGGCTCGAGCATGATGTCCATCTCGGCCAGGCGCCCATGGCCGAACACGGCTCGGGTCCTCGAGCGCAGGTGGTCGCGCCTCCCTTCGGATGCGCGGACGGATGATCGAGGAGGGGGGGGAGGAACCCAGAGGAGGAGGAGGAGGAGGAGGAGGAGGAGGAGGGAGGAGGAGGGAGGGAGGGAGGAGGAGGAGGAGGAGGAGGAGGAGGAGGGAGGAGGAGGAGGAGGAGGAGGAGGGAGGAGGAGGAGGAGAGGAGGAGGAGGAGGGAGGAGGGGGAGGAGGGGAGGAGGAGGGGGAGGAGGAGGAGGAGGAGGGAGGAGGAGGAGGAGAGGAGGAGGAGGAGGAGGGAGGAGGGGGGGGAGGAGGGGGAGGAGGGGGATGAGGAGGAGGAGGAGGAAGAGGAGGAGGAGAAGCACTCGGACGTGGAGCATTTCGTGCCCAGCTCGACGGTCTGCTTCTCGAGAGGGCCGACCTTCGGCCCTGGCGACCGCGTCGCCTGTGGGGAGCCGAGTTCGAAGAGTTCTCGCTGCCCTTAGCCCAGGACGGGCCTGCCAGGATCGATGAGGTGGCCAGCTGACGTTCGGCGGCGAGCCCGTGGAGAAGTGAGAGGGGGCGGACCTTCTCAGAAGGTTCGAAAGTCCCCCGGCCTTGTGACAAGCCTTCTGAGCCTTCCTCGAAGGTTCAGAAAACCTCTCACGGGGCCAGGGGCGGCTCCTGAGAAGCCCCGCCGCCTTCTGAGAAGACCTCCTCATTCTCAGTTCCCCCCTCGCTCGCCGCCGATGATGACGACGACAGCAGGAGGAAGGGGAGGAGACGACCTGTGCAAGCCATGTGCGGGCCCGATGGTGGCATCAAGCAAGCGTATTCCGAGCGAGTGGGCGCTTTCCATTTCATTCACGCGATTAATTCGTATCGCATAACTGGCCTCCTCACACGCCTGGCCCCAATGACTATCCGTCGTAAAGCTGGACGGGTCCCTGGGCCGCGGATGGGGGAGGAAGGGGGAGCCGGGGGAGGAGGAGAGCAGGGGAACGTGGCGGAGACCACAAACGCATCCTCCATACCTCCCTCCTTCCCTCCCTCATCTCCGACCATCCTCTCTCCGACTCAGCCTCTCCTCTTTCGCATGGTTTCTCCCTTTTCCCCTTCCTCGTCTTCCCCTCCGCCTCACAATCCACTTTGACGATCTTGCGTCGTCAACTCGGACTTGCGGAATGTAGCATCCGCACAAGGGCGAAGGAACGAAGGCAAAAACGCAAGCAACTGTACCTCTGCGACACGCAAACATGAAAGGGGAGATGACGCCAAAGGATAGCGGCGTATGACATCAGACCTGGTCATACACGATGCATCGACGCCGCCTGGCTGACCAGCACTGCCGTGTTTGGTATAGCCTATAATGCGCTCGCTGGAAAGATCATTCGACAGAACGTGATCTGGGCGAGCCCTCTTTTGTTATATGGTACTAGCCAGCAAACTATAGATTCAAACCCATGCTTTGCTCTGCTCACTGGTGCCACCACATGCAGTCTTCTGCGCAGTCGTCATTCAACTTACCTCAGGCTCAGGAGGCATGCACCCCTGTGGTTCGCTACGAAACGATGTAGAGGACGGGGCAGGACGGGAGAAAACGGGAAAGGGGATGACAGGGAAGGAGGAAACAGAACAGGAGACGAGAAAAGAGCAGAAAGAAAAAAGGCGGAGACGGAAAGGTGAAGAAATAAAACGACGATGTACAAACAAAAAGACTGCAAGAGCAGACGAGAGGGGACCTGGGAGAGGGGGAGGACGGGGGAGGAGAAGGGACGGAGAGAACAACGACAACAAAAACGGCGAGGGACGGAAGACGAGAGGAGGAGCAAGCAGAAAAGCCGAGAGAGGAAAGAGGGGGAGAACAAGAAGCGAGGGACAAGGGACGAGTGAGAAGGACGGTGATGGTGATGATGGTGCTGGAAATGGCAATGGTGGTGGTAATGGTGATAATGGTGATAATGGTGATGATGCTGATGGTGATGATGATGATGATGATGATGATGATGATGATGATGATGGTAGCGACGACGGTGGCAATGACGATAGTGATGATGATTATGATGATGATGATGACGATGCTGGTGATGATGAGCACGATGAGCATGATGAGAATGGTAGTGATGGTGGTGGTGGTGGTGGTGACGATGATGATGATGATGATGATAGCGTGATGGTGCTGATGGTGATGACGATGAAAGTGATGGTGATGATGACGATGATGAAGATGGTGACCATGGTGATGATAATGATGGCGATAGCGATGGTGCTGATGATCGCGACGATGATGATGGTGATGATGATGATGATGATGGTAACGATGACGGTGATGAGTATGAAGATGCTTGGGATGATGATGATGATGGTGATGATGCTGATCATGATGATGACGATGATGATGATGGTGATGATGATGATGATGGTGATGCGACTGATGTAGTCAGACGAGCCGCTGACAATGACAAGAATAATGCGAATACTGATAACGAATATGATAAACCTGCTAATACGAATGCTTAAAATGATACAACAAAAACATGTTTGAAAATGATGGTAATAGTCATAGTGATGGTGATGACGATGATGGCGGTGATGATGGTGATGAAGATGATGACGATGATGATAATGATGAGGATGACGATAATACTGATGACGATGATGATAACGATGACAATGACGATGAGGATGATGAGGATGATGAGGATGCTGATGATGACGATGATGATGATGATGATGATGATGATGATGACAGTGATGATGACAGTGATGATGGTGATTGTGGTGGTGGTGGCGAGCCCTAGAAAGCGGGTTCCCTGGATGCCCTCAAAACGGGGGAGAAGGAGAAGAAGGAGGAGGAACATCCCAGGACGAGGAGGCAGTCACCCCCCCACCACCCCTTCCTGCTGGCTGCAACGGCGTCGTCTGGGACCTCGGACGCGCGAAGAGTGCAGGGCTAAGCAGGACCGCCCAACGAGAAAATAGGCGCATGTCCTTCCTCTCTGCCTCCTCCTCCTCCGCCGCCGCCACCTCCTCATTCTCATCCTCGTCCTCTCCTCGTCCCTCCTCCTGCTCATCTTCCTCCTCCTCCTCCTCATCTTCCTCCTCCAGCTCCTCCTCCTCCTCCTCCTCCTCCTCCTCCTCCTCCTCCTTCTCTTCCGTAGCCATGTTGGCTCAAAACTTTGAGTTCCACAGGGGAACGCACAGATACCGCTATTCCGAGGCCAGAGCTAGGACTGTTCAGCGAGACATCCTCTTGCACCAGCTGGTCCGCCCCAGTTCGGTACCTGCCTCCCGCTGCCCGCGGGTGCGCAGTCCATTTCTTAGCACCTCAGTCGCGCGATGTCCAGTGGTGATGGCTGGCGTGATGGAGGCACATCTCGTTCCCGTCAGCAGTACCAGGACCCGTGCCAGCACTGCAGGTACCGCTGGAACTGCAAGAACAACCACTGGTGCTTTCAGTGCGCGGGACCCCTCGTGTCCAACCCAGCGGCTGATCGCCGTCCGCGGGGGCAGTTAACCAGCCTCGAACATATCCCTATCCCTACCCCTATCCCTATCCCTAAGATGTCAAACATAGGGATGGGGATATGTTTCGAACTGGTAAGCAGTGGGCATCTGGGCCTCCAGCCATCTCGGACTCGCCGCTCCACGAGAAGCCTGCTGCTGCATCGCCCTTCGTCGACCCCTCGCCCGCAGACGCGGCGGCTGCTGCTGCGGCTGGCGCTGGCAAGGGCAGGGGGCCGCGGCAAGAAGGCTCCCCCGCTGCCGCGCGGGCAGCCCAAAGCCAGGGCCAGCGCCGCGCGCCAACGAGAGAACACTCCGAGGACCTGCGTCGATGCCTCACCAAGACCCCCGACATCGCGGTTCGCGTCGCCGCTTGGGCCCCTGGAGATCCCGACCCCTTTCCCCAGGACCGGTTTTTGCTGGCGGTCCCGGGGCCCAGGGCCCGGCGAGGGCCCCCGGCTCCGGGTCCCTGGCACCGCGCCCCGGGCCCACGGAGGGCCCCCAGGAGGCCGAAGAGAGCCGCAGACCCTCCGCCGCGAGCCATCCCACGACACCGTGGTGGCGCGGGTCCCGCGGGCGCGGGGGGGGGGGCCAGGCTGGGCCAGCGGCCCGCTGATACTGGTTGTGGCCGCTGCGCAGGGGGATCTCGAAGCCACTGCCAGGCCTCGCATGCTCGTCTTGCATCCGCGCACCGCGGGCGGGGCGGAGGGTGGAGGGGGAGGAGGGGGGGGGGCGAGGGGGGAGGCAGGGAGGGGAGGAGGGGAGGGGAGGAGGGGGGAAGGGAGGGGGTGAGGGGGGAGCCTCCTCCCCCTGCCCCCCTTCCCCTGCCCCAATTCTTCCCTGGCCCCCTCCCCTGCCCCCTCCCCCCGAATCTCCCCTCCTGGTCCTGGGGGCACCGAGACCGTGCGGTGACAGACCCGGCGGTGAGATATCATCGGAAAACGACACAAGTCCCAAAGCCGAGCGGTGCCCCCGAGTCCCCACCTGCTCGCCACACGTTTGCTGGGGGCGGCGACAGGAGCGAACAGCTCACGGGCGGGAGCTGCACGCGATCGCCCGGGAGCCTTGCCGCAAGCAGGGACCATCGGCGCCACCGGATACATGAATTATTATTCCGTGGTCGAGTCGCTCACATCGTCGCCCCCCAGGTTTGGGGGCCCCCTCCTTCGTCCCCACACCCGCTCCCATCCCACTCCCCACCCACCTACCCCCGTCCCCTCCTCCCCCCCCACACCTCCTCCCCATCCCCTCCTGCCTGCCGCCGAGGGGGAGAAGGGGATGAGGGGGGAGGGGGGGGAGAAGGGGAGGGAAGGGGAGGATTGGGGAACAGGGGAGGGGAGGAGACGGGGAAGAAGGGGAGAAGGGGAGAAGGGGAGAAGGGAGGATCAGGAGAGGGGAGGAAGTGGGGATCGGGGAGAAGGAGAGGGGAGGAAGGGAGGATCGGGGAGAAGGGGAGGGGAGGAAGGGGGGATCGGGGAGAACGGGGAGTAAGGGGGCATCGGGGAAGGGGAGGGAAGGGGGGATCGGCGAAAAAGAGAGGAGGGTGAGATCGGGGAAAAGGGAAACGAAAGGGAGGAGACGGGGAAGAGGGGGCAAAGGGAGGAGAAGGGAGGAGAAGGAGAGGAGAGGGGAGGAGGGGGGGATCAGGGAGAAGGGGAGGGGAGGAGGGGGGAATCGGGGAGGAAGGGGAAAGGAGGAAGGGGGGGGGATCGGGGAGTGCCGCAGGCGGCCAAAAACGGCGGGCGGACGGCGGACGGAGACCGTCGGGGCGGGGGGCGGGGGACGGGGAAGGAGGCGACGGGCGGGGACGGCGAGGGCGGCTCGGAGGGGAACGGGAACAAGACGGGGACGGGGACGCGGGGGCCCGACGGGGAGGGAGACGAGACAAGACGAGACGCGCGTGTCCGCCGGCAGGCGGGCCCCTTCGGAGCGGCGCGGGCAGGCCAGGGCCCGGTGAGATGTGCGCGTGCGCAAGGTAATCCTTCTCCCAATTGTTCCACACTTGGGACCACTTGTTCCACACTTGGGACCAATTGTTCCACAATTGGGAGCGGGAAGGGAGAGGCGAATATGGGGGCCAGGAGGAGGCGCCGCGGCGATCGCGACCTCCTGGTGGCGACCTCCGAGGCCGCCCTGCGGCGCGGCGGGTGCCGGCGGGGCGCGGGGGGGCCTCCAGGAAGTGCGCACGGGCCAAGACGGCGCCGCCCTGGAGCTGCCCAGGAGGTGCGCACGAGCACGCGGGGGCGCTGCCCGAGCTGTCGAGGCGCTTGCCACGAGCCTGGGAAAAGCGCGGCTCCGGACGTCGGGGAGTGCGAGCCTGTGCAGCGCTGCCTGGGAGCTGCCGGGGTCACCCTGCGGCACGGCGGGTGCCGGCGGAACGCGGGCGCCAAGGGGAGGAGCTGTGCCGCTCGGCCGATGCAGCAGACGTTAAGTCGGGCGCGTCCCCCGACAGGCGGATTTTGAACGAAAAATGAAGATTCCATCAATGCCCAAAAATGCCTTGAAATACTCAAACAAATCGTCCCAGACTATTGTTTTGACTATTGTTGAACATTCCAGGTGTCGGGGGTTAAGCCCGACCTAAAACAAACGAGCGGATGGCCCACTGGGCGAGCGCCGCATGTGCATTTAGGGCCCTGGGCAAGCTCCAGTCCTCAAGGGGGCGGGCCCGCTGCATCAGGGGAAGATGCTGTCACTGCGCCCGCCGAAAATGGCGGAACTGCGTGCACCTCCAGCGCGCGCGATCGCTGGTGCGGACAAATGACGAAGGGCAAGTCGCATCGATTGCCATCGCACGCCACGAGCCCTGAGATCCACTGGCGGGCTCTAGTGGCCTTGAGTCGCCTTCAAGCAACCCTTCTAATGGCCTTCGGCGACCTTTGGCATCGTTTAGTGGCCTTCAGCGTCCTCGAGCAGCCTGCACGAATATACAAAGAACTGCATTCTGCATGTTAGGATGAGGCTCCAAAAAGACCTACTTGATTCACGGCGAGCTCCAGCACCAGATCAGAAGTGGCGGCAGGGCTGGGACTCACTTGCGCCTGAATGCTCGATACCTGGCACGCGGCACAAGGCTGGACAATTCTGCCGAGACTGGCCAGGTCGGCGCAGGAGCGGAACGATGCTGAGGAGCGAGCGAGCGAGCGACCACCAGTGCGGCAGGCGTCTGGGCCGAGGTAAAGCCAGGTGGAGGAGGCCGCGGCCTCTGGAATGTGATATGTGAACTCTGCTGCGCGAGGCGTCTCAAGCAGCAGAGGTGGGTCAACGCCGCTGCCGGCTGCTCCGAGGCCCTCCTCCTCCTCCTCCTTCTCCTTCTCCTCCTCCTCCTCAACGACCTGCACACCACGGCGCGATACAGACGATCCGACGGCCAATGCGAGCTGGCCCGGGCTTGAGCAGCGCCGCAAGACGTCGAGCGGGCCCAGCCGAAGCAGGACGCCGAGGCCGAGCTGAGGGCCGAGCGCAGAGCGCGACGCCGCCTGCGCGGCAGCGGAGGCGGAAGACCGCCACGACGACAGCGGAGCCGAAGAGGCCGTCTCACAGGAGCGGGCCGGCTAGGAGAACGCCGCGGAGCTCGGCAAGAAGCCGAGGCGGCCGCTGGATGCGGCACCTGCTGTCGGGGGCGCACCACCTGCTGGGAGAGACCCAAGGCGAAGATGGCAGCGTACCCCGCCGCCTGCGCACAGCGGGCGTGAGCCTGGCTCACGGGCTCCTCTCGGCGGCGAGCCCGGCGGGGAAGTAAGGAGGAGATGGCCTCCTCAGAAGGCTCGGAAGTCCACCGGCCTCCTGAAAAGTTTTCTGAGCCGTCTCCGAAAGCACAGGAAACGTTTCAGAAGGCGCCAGGGCTTCTGAAGAAAAGCCCCACCGCCTCCTGAGAAGGCCTTCTCGCTTCCCTCCCTCGCTCGCAGCCGATCCTGCCCCCGCTGGGTGGCGCGCAGATCGGGGGCGTCTCCACCCAGCCGCAACGTCGGCGCGACGACGGCGCGCGGCGCCGCAGCGACAAGGTGCTCGCAGCCGCCCCCTCGGAGCGGGGCCGAGGAGAAGCTCTGCGGCACGGGTGGGGCCCTTCTGTGATATGGATCGGCGCGCAGCGCCGGGGATGCTTTTGCTGCGAGCGCGGCTCGAAGAACTGGCGCAGCACCAAGGCCAAGGGCCCTGAGAAATAAAAATGGCAATGGCGAGCAAGGAATGAAACCGCAGACACCTCAAGGCTCTCGGTGAACCCCTCTCGGGCCTCTTACATTCCTGGGGAGTGAGTTTAATTCACACTCCACCTCGGACATGCTCGGATCGCCGCCTCGGGCGTCAGAGCGGGGACTATAGCAAACAAGTCACTCGCCGGCAAAAAACACGGAGTGAAGCAAGCAAACGGCTTGAATTGTATAGCATACAAGGCATACTCAGCAATGGCGACGGTTCGTTCGCGATGCGACAAACCCCCCAAAGACATAACCATCTTCTCAAGATACTAAGCGGGCGTGATCGTCATCACAAACAAAAACTGCGCGCACTGACACGAATGAAGCTTCTCGAGAAAAGCACGGAGTTCGGAGTTACGTGTGGATCTTTATCCGGGTGTAAAAACACAGCGATATCGGAATACGCAAATCTTGACCAGGCGTAGCGTTGGCAACGATGCGGAATACATAAACCTTGACCAGGCGTAGCATGGGCGGTAGAACATTTCCGGTCCGATCGGCCAGACTGCCGTCAAACCAAGCGGGGTTCACTTGTTTTTCGGCTTCGCTGGCTTGTCCGCTAAATCGGATCCCCGCCAGACATCTCCGCCTGTGAGCTTCCACCAGCGGCCCTTGAGGTCATTCATCATACTCTCTGGGAAGATCGTGAAAATCATACCGAAGCAGCCACGAAGCGTGCTTCTTGCAGGTCTTGCAAGTGATGCATACACTATGCGGGTTGTGGCCGATGACCACATCATGATGAGGAATGCCAGTCACGCAACTGAGCATATCATTCGGCTGCACAGTCTGGGAGGACCCGCTCCACGACACAACACTGGCTGATGAGGCTGAAACGGAACTCGATGAACTCGTCACGGAAACCACAGTCGGTGATGCGGGAGCCGAACTTCCCTGCGACCTTGCTGATCTTGATCGACCAGATCCCCGTGCTGATGCTGCGGCATATGGTGATGGCGGTGGTGGTGCGATGGCAGGCGGTGGTTCTGTCGGTACCTGCGGCGGTGGCGGCTGCTGAATCGTAGCAGATGCCACTGAACTCGATGCCTGTGCGCTGCTGAACACGTCCGCGTGGGATATCGTGATGTCACCATCGTGATCACGGTCCTCTGAGTGATAAGTAATATGTTACGGCATCGGCCGAGCATGCGGCCGTCCCAGCGAGGGTGCTCGCCCATGGCCTTCGCCTCGGCGGCGCTCTCCTCGTTGGCGATCGCGTTGTTCTGCTTCAGCATCGTCCAGAGCGCCATGAAGATGCCGGAACCGATAGTCATGCCGAGGACCAGCGTGAACGTCAGAAGGCAAATATAGAAGCTGTAGTCCAGCATAGTCGGCGTGGGCGCAAGCTGCCCCTTGACCTTGCCGAGGCAGGTGAAGAGGACTGATGCGAGCATGGCAGCGCGTGGCTGCCGGGTCCCATAGGTGCGTTTGCGAGCCCCGAAGAAAGACAGCAGGACGCCCGCCTCCATCGTCTGCGTCAAGGCG